AAATATATTTATGTTTGTGGTTGTAATGTGACAAAATATGGAAAAGTTCAAGGGGTATGAATACTTTTGCAAACCACTGTATATCTGTACAGAAAGTTACAGTAATTGAGGGGGATGTCATAAAAGCATGAATTGCTGTTTTAAACTAGGGCTATTAAGGCAATAACCTGATAGAAAAAAAAACTTTTGGATCATAGAGTGGATGATAGTAAGCACTCAATCCTTTCATGGAAAAAATGTAATTTTATAAAAGCTCAGGCTGTCTAAACAAAATTATTATTGTTTTATAATTTGTAACTTTAAGTGAATTTTAGTTACAAATTTATCATTGTCACAATATCAGTGAGCAAACTACAAAAGATGACTAGGGTCACTGGATAAATAAAAACTAATTCTGTCTTTTCTCAGGATTTTGAGGTTAAAGTAAGACTCCCGCCCTAATCTTCCTTCATAGCAAACTGTCAATATCTCTAAGAATTACAATGACAGACCATTATATTTAGACCCGCCATTTAAGTTCTGCAGGCTAATGTTGATCAATCCAACAGAATCTGACCGGCCTGGATGGATGCCCACACTTACAGGGCTCTAGAGTGCGACCAGATTTCCTAATAGTGCAACTAAAAAAAATGTCCAGTCGCAATGGTGCAACTGAGGGGGAGCGGTCGCCCGCTGAAACTAAAAGTTTTTATCATGTTCCATAAAAATAAACCAGCTGTATCAATGGTCACCCGCCGACAGTCTCATCTCTCCTAATTACACTGTGCTCTGCTTGCGGGCTTCGCTCCACACCTCCRGCGCACACACATTTGTTGTTCTATCCTCATGGGGACTTTGCATTGGCTTCCATTCATTTTCCCGTCAATTCTAAAGCCAACAATAACCTCCCAGGTAGACTACACACCTGATCCAAACCCTAAACGTACCAGGGAAATGGTCTATAATTGTACCCACCATGACGCAAAAATCTGTACACACACACACACACGCACGCATTTCGAAACAACCGGAGGTGTTTTTTTTTTAAATCCAGATCGGAGTCTGAAAAAAAGTTATTTCTTGTTAGCTGGAGATGAAAACAAGAAGTGGACGGTTGCTCGCTCGTCCATCTTGTTAATTTAACAGTCGGGGTCTGAGCGCTGCAGATCATTTCAGCAGGACGAGGAAGCTCACATGTATGGCAGGCCGCTGCAAGTAGGGGTCTCTGCTAACGAGTGGGCGTGTCACAAGGAAAGGTGATTCTAAAGAGACTGTTGTGGAATACTGATTCTTTTAAACACCCTTTTCGCCGTGTTTCTGACTATCTTTGCCGCGACAGAGACACACCTGATTTGATGAACTTTGTTAAAGGGACACACCTGACTGGACAAGCAAAAAAGGGGCGATACCGTACGGCACCACCTCATTGGACAAGAACAAAAGGGGCGTTACTGTACGGCACCACTTTTTCTGGAGAACCCTACTTGGGTCACATTTCTCCTGGTTAACCTTAGTGTTGGGGTCAGGGTCAGGCTGTAAAGAGATCGAGCAGGGTCTAAGGATACCGTCATGTAGGCCTCGTAGCCCACAGTGTTCATGCTTTAGACACGCCCACTCTTGTGACACGCCCACTTTGATTCCGCAGATAACCCGTTCTCGGCCACTGTTACACTTAATCGACTTCATCACAGTTACATTCCAAGTATCTGAAATAGGTTCTTCTGGGTCTCAGGAGGATAAAACTAGACTTATTAGATATTTAAGTGAAATAATATAAGATAATAAGATTCAACTAATGATGAAATTGCAGACTTTTGTGTTATTATTTTAAAAAATGTGCACAAAATTTTAATAAATATCAGTAATATTTCTGTTATTAATCATTATTCTCTGTTCATCATTCGGGTTTATCCAAGGCCAAAGATCCATAGTTGTCCATCTAAGGTGCAGGTGTCTAAAAAACTTAACCATGANCAAAGAAAAAGGGAGTGTTTTAGTTTAATTATCTTGCATCTAATTAAAGGGAGAGACATCTGCTTGCCTCAGTAAAATAAGAGTGTCACACTTTTAATTAAAGATTCAAGTCCTAAAGTTTCTAAGGATTAAATCATGGAATAAAACATACACTGTTTAAAATCATGAAATGAAAGAAACATCTTCAGGAGTCCATCTGTAAACAATTAAACACAATACACACAGCTATTGAATAGTTAACTAAGCAAAACTTAATAGATCTTTTATGGTCTTTTTAGTTCTTTTCTGTAAGAAAAATGGATTAGATGACATTCTTTGCAATAAGACAGAAAACATTAGATACACAGATTCCTTTATATTTTCTCCTTTTTTCACATTTAATGAAGAATGTAGATTCCTTTGTTCTCAGTCACGCCGAAGAGTCTGGTTAAAGGCATTTATGATCCCTTTGAAAAGGAACCAACAGTCTTGTGCTTATCGGGGATGGAAGCAACAGAACTTGTGGGGTTCGGAACAGGAATGTGGCAATTCTTATCTATTAACGGTAYGGCATCAGGATGTCTGGTGGGGGTTTGTGTGAGAGATGTTAATTCGAGCCACAAAGGAAGTTCCATGCAAAAAATCTTTAGAAATAGTCTGAAGTCAAAGTGGGGGTTTTCTTCCTTTCTGAGCCGTTGTCATAGGAACAAGTGAAATCTAATCAGAAATGATGATTTATATGCAGGAAAATGCTACAAACATCTTATTGCAATAAAAAGTCGATCAGCTAGGTTAAAAAACAACTTACATTTAAAGACAAATTCTTCCGCCGATGATGGCGCAATGCAATCTGGGATACTGTTGTTAGGACTTAGTGGCAGGATAAACCCAAATGCAGGCAGGCAGGCAGACTTAAAAATTTAACAAAACCTTTATTAAATTAAAGGCCAGCGTGGTGGCAAAAACAGAAGACTTACAAGTGAGCAGGAACAAGGAAGCCAGGGCAGAACATGAACCAAACAGAAACAAACAATGAACGGACGAAGGTGGAGAGCATGAGAACCAGTATACGTAGTCAGAGGCTAAGTGGAGAGTGGAGACAGCTGTGATGATTAGGAGTGAAGACAGGTGAGCAGAATAATCTAGAAGGGCTGAATAATCTGAGGATTGAGATGACAAGGCATAAAATGAACAGTAGATGAAAGCACAAGACAACAGAAAACACACAAAAACACCAAATCCTCACAGTACCCTACCCCAAAGATCGTCTCCAGACGATGACCACACAATCACGGGAGGGCGGAGGGGGTACAAAAAACCAACAAAACACCACGGAGGGCAAGAAACAAAACTACAAAGCAGACAAGACATGAGACACAAAAAAGGCTAAGATGGGGAAACAAAAAAATGACAGGAAGGTCCTGGGGAAAAAATGGAAACATAAAAAGTCATAAGATGACCCTAAGGTGCATCTGACAGGAGGCTGTGGCTCTGGAGGTCGGCCTGGAGCTCGGCCAAAACGAGGCTGTGGCTCTGGATGTCGGCCGAAACGAGGCTGTGGCTCTGGAGGTCGGNCCCGAGGCTTCAAGCCTCCCAAGTGTGTTTTTAACTCCCGAGGGGAGATTTTATTTTGAAAGAAGGCACCGGATGTACAGCTTGAATCTTTCTGGCTTGGACTGAAACAGACGAAAAGTTACCTGAAATAACACCCTTTCTCTCCAAGGACCAGTGAGCGAGCCGATTAAAAAGTTCCCTGACTGATCAGAGGTGAGACAGTCCCTACCCAGGGGTTGGTTAAGAAGCCATCACCAGGTAAAACTGACGTGTTCCGGGTGACGTGTCATGTGGAAACTGAGTGCAGAAGGGACGTGCTGATCCGGTTGACCACACTTGATAAAGTAAAATTTAGTAGCGATACTAACATTACTTTTCTCCTTTTCTTGTCTTTATTTGCCAAAACTTAAGCTAAAAGTGCCAGTAAAATTGTTTGGTTGTAACATCAGAACTGACATTTTACTGTTCTATATAAGTAATCTGAGTTGATGTGAATTAAAATTCGGAT